GCCCGACCAGGCCCCATGGGTGTAGGCCTGGCCACCAGGCGCTCGCCATCGAGCCCCATCCCCAGGCCTGGCTCCAGGGGGGGGCCCCGGTGACCCGCGTCCGGGCAAGGGAAAACGTGAATCCATTATGTTTTTCTTCATGAGGGGTCTTTTGAGCCGCACTTCGTCTGGTTCCTCACCCAGGACCTGTTTGCCTTGGGTGACCCTACCATGGGCATAAAGCCCCAGGCAACTTAGCTCCTGGGATCATTGGAACACGCAAACCCCTCCACCACGATAAGGTGTCGGCTCCAGGAGAGAAATAATTTATTTGCCATGAATTAAGTTTATGATATTTGAAGAAATTTGTGATCATGCCCCAGTCAGTGAAAGTGTGTTTCCTACCCCTAGACCCCAAAGGGTTAAGCCATTGTCGGCTGTGGCAGTCTCTTCAACTGTCACCTCCACCTCCTATCTCGCGGTTGGTGAAGGTCCCTCCAGCTCCGGCCTCACGGTTGCCTGTGGCCCCGGCTGCTCCTGCCTTCCCTTCAGCTCCTGGTTTTTTTTTCCCTCCCTTTGTGCCCCCATCCCCTGGTTTGGTTCCCCTTGTGGGTGGTTTCCCCATATTCCCTCCTTGTTCACTTGGTCTTCCCCTCTCCCCCTTTGGTCAGTGTGCCCTCCGGTGCTGTCCCTTCATTGTCCCCTTCCTTGCTTTCTTTGGGTCTCCTGTTCCTGTCCTTAGTGTCCCTGTTCGTGTCTACGTTTGTTCAGTTGGTGTCCTGGGTGTTGCTGTCCTGCTTGTTCTTAGTGCCTGTACAGTTTCCATTTGCTTGTTAATGTGTTTTGGTTTTTGTTTCCCCCAGGTGGTGCTGTGCTCTGAGTTCCATTGTGTCCCCTGTTTGGTCCCTTTTAGGGATACTTGTAGTAAGTCAGTCATCAGCTCTGGCAACTACTACAACCTTTGAAGTGGGAGAAATCCATTTGTGTGGTTTACAGTAATTTTCCAAAAAACTTATTGAATTACTGTGCGGTCGTGGTTGGATATTTCTGAGAAATTCCACCTGTAGTAAGTCAGGGGGCACCTCTGGCAACCACTACAACCTCTGAAGTGGGAGAAATTGGTTTAGTATGAATGTGAAATTATTGCAATTTCACAGATGTTTGTATTAAAAAATCTTAGCAGAAAAGCTCCAGTAGCAATGCTTGTTTCTCCAGAATGCACTTTGCACTTTGTAGACTGTCCCTAGCAAAAAGCTGCGCTTCCAACGTTGGCTTATTAGTTTCGCAGAAAATGCCTTGTCACTACAATAATTAATGAACATATCACTCACTTTGCAATATTGTAGTACAATCTGCATTTTCTCCTGAAACAGAGAATGTTACTTATGATTTTTGGTGGTGTCGTTTCAAAGATATACAGTAGGGGAGGCAAATCTGAATATCAAACGAATATCGAATATAAAACCAACTTTACCATGCTGAGTGAGCACTGGTGTTTCGATTCGTTTGTGATTATTATTGCAGTGCCCTGTGGGGGTGGTAGCGTGGGTTTTGCTGTGATACAGTCTCGGTATCCCTATAAGGTGATTGTGGGGGGAAAAAGGGATAAATTGGTATTGTGGGGAAGAATCCTTGGTTGAATCCTTTTTACCTGTCGTGCCGTGGCAGAATCTGTTCGTTTGCCTTGGTTTCGTGCCGCCCTTATAGGCTCGGGCGGATGGGAACGGGATATTGGGGACCATCTACCGCACGGACATCGCCTGGCTCCACCGACTTCATAGTGGACCCTGAAGGGACTTTTATTTAATTTTTACTATGTCTTTGCATGTCATTTGCTAGCTTTGGTGTGTGTTTTTATTCCTTGTATAATAAATTGGTAAAATGCGAGCCGTCAGGTGTTTGGAGCGACTCATACCAGCACAAACAGTCTGAACCCAATTGGAGGGTCCTTGTGCCCTATTGTTACATCAGGTGGCATAGTCGAGGCTTATAAGGTTTATTGGGGGCAAAGTGGTCATCTGGGGTTCTAACTAGTGGGCCTTTGTGATTAGGCTAAAAAAAAAACAGTTTTGCTTTAATTGTCCCTTTTCCTTGAGTGTGGCGTTTGACCCACGTGACGTAGCCGTGACAAATAGACAATATAAACGGTATCCGTACACTACTTTCTCATGTTTTTCTTGGCATTTTCTTTTCTCTAGATAACTTTGTACACGTGTGTGTGTGTGTGTGTATGCTATGTTCTATCACAAGTTTATTACATTTTCCATTATAGTTTGCTGCTGTCTTGTGAATACACTAATACAGTAGTACCTCAGAACTCGAATTTAATCCCCATTAAGAACTCTGGATCGAATCCTAAGGAGTTCAAGTTGTGATCGAATTTTCCCCATAAGAAATAATGGAAAACCAATTCATTTGGTTCCCAGCCCCAAAAAATTACACCTAAATGTTTTTTATTTATTTATTTAATTTTTTATTTTTATTTTATCAGGTTCATTTTGTGCATATACTGTACTAAACACATCTAAGCACATTTACAAAACAGTAATTTGTAAAGTAAGAAAATAAATGTATCCAAACAATGTATCCTGCCCCAATCGTCTGCTCTTTCCGTGTGCCCCGCCCCCCGTTAACCCCGTGTGGAATCCCAGTGTGATCAGCTGTTTCTGGTTGTTGTCATTAGTCCTCTGTATTTCGTCCGCGTTTGTTTCCCCAGTCCGGTCATTGTATTGTCTGTCTGCGTTTGCCTGCCTTACCTGTAATTAAACCCCGTATTCTCCGATACCCTGACGTCTGCGTCTTTGTCTCCGTTCGGTCACCCAATGAGTCACGTGCTGCGTGACTCATTTCCCCGTGCTTACAAGTTCTTAGGTCAGCGTTCACGGTTTGACTTCTGAGATTCAGATTGAGCTCTAGGTAATTTTTTTTCGAACTGGTTGGTTTGACTTTTAAGAAATTTGAGTTCTAATGAGTTTGAGAACTGCGGTACCACTGTATATTATTACCTCAATTTAGGTAAAGTATCTGGCAACAATTGGGGGGCCCAGCAGTTGTGCTGGCGGGGCTCTGGCCAGAAGATAGCTTTTGGGGAGATGCTGGCCTGCAGAGCAGTCATAGGTACAGTATGTAATGTTCATATGCAATAAGACCCTAAGAACAACATCAAATCTTGAATTTAATTGTAAAGACCAAATTACGGAATATTTTGTGACTTGGAAATACAGTATACAAGTTTTGTGTTGCAGATGTCACTAGAAAATAAGGGCATGATGGTATTTCATAAAGACAGATCAGCCTGGGAAGTTGACTTAACTTAAACTTCTAACTTGATCTTAAGTTCTGTTCCAAAGCTAGTTTAAAGGCTCCACCTGTGACTCAACTAGACTTGACCTTTCGCGACTGACATTTTAATTCACTGTAAAGCCCTTTTTGTCCAAAAAGTTCCAAGAACTATGGAACCAACAAAGTCCTGGGAAACTACATGATAGTAGGGAAAACACAAGTATATACTTTGCACTTGGACAACCTCTTGTTTTTTTTTTTTTACATTAGCATTTCAGTTTTTTTTCTCAATTAGATGCTGTGACAAAAAGTAACCGGGCCACAGCCTCAGAGGCGGAATCTTCAATTAAAACATGGCTGCGGAATGCTAGAGACCGGGATGGGGGAAGGAGCCGAAGGACACTGAGGGGATTGATTTTAATATTGATTTTTTTATGTATGTAATACTATGTGCCCATTGTTCTGTTTAATAAAAAAATGTAGTACTCAATCCACATACTCAGTTTTGTATTCAATTTTCAATATGTTTTCTTTATTTTTTTCTTCCAACCTGTCCGTGAACAGATGTGTTTGAAACATATTACAGTACTTGTAGTTTATTACTGCTACTTTCAATAAGTGCAAATATTCTGCATACGCATTAATAATAACGTTGTGGTATACTGGCAGTATAGGACCAAACTAATTTTATTTAAAGACCCACAAAGCATGCCCACGGAGACACTGGAGCACTGTGGCTTCACAGCTTTCCTTCCTCCCAATGTCCCCCCAGTAGGCCCACAGTATGCCCACAGTTTGCCCAAAGTATGCTCAATACGCAGTACACCCCACAGTGTGCCCATAGTATGCCCACAGGGGAGGCCGACCCAAAGTGTGGGCAAACTGTGGGCCCACAATGGGTCCCACTCTGCTTAGTGTGAGCAGCCCACAAGGGCCCCACGTTGTGAGGCCCACACGTGCCCCGCATTTCACGCCAGTAGTGGGGCCCACACATATATATATATATATATATATATAAATTTCACACATCCCATCTTGCTGAGGTTACAGTTAGCCTGGGGTCATAGCACAGGGTCAGCACCCCTGGATCCAACTTGGACATAGTGGCTTTTTACTTACCATAATACTCAGTGTTGCCCCAGCCTGTGACAGTTCCCATCTGTCCATCAATCAGTCGCTGGCCGTAGGTTGGAAGGCACACTGGCTGAATATATTCTGTCCCAAACCAGAAAAAAAAGATCACTAGAAAGTTTTCGAAGTACATTTCACATAATGACCGTTTTAACAAAATGAATACCAATCAATACCAAAAGTGCTGTGATCAACGAAAATGAATCAGGAAAACCCTTACCAGGAAAAAGTCCTACTCCCTTTGGAAAGCCAACAAACAGAAAACACAGTAACACATGAGCTATTGACTGAAACCCCATACTGACCCACCCCCATATGTTTCTTAACCTCAGATTGAGGTTATTCTTGTCGGGACCAAAAACATGTCTCCACGAGGTAAAAAGTTATAGATTTTTATCACATTGTTGGGAGATGTGGTACCCACAATGTAATAATCACAAAAAATATAACACACATACAAAATATCATACAGGCAATTTACAGATAGCAAAAAGCATAACTTCATGCCTTTGGATTGCAGTAGGAAACTGGAATACCCAGAGGAGACCCCCAGGACTGTTGAATAGCAAATAGAAAAAACAGACCATAAATGACATGCTTGTGGGCAATAAACTGAGCTAGAGAGGCATGATAGGACTGCTATTTGAGAAAAAGCTGCACTTGAGACCGCACATAAAATTTGTTTCCTCTTCTAAATAACACCCCATACTAGACTCCACAAAGCACTGCTGATTTCAATTAATTTTATTATTGTTATGAAAATAAACATGAATTGCACAGTTGAAATGATTTTTTAGTAAAACAACAAAAGCAAATAATCATCTGGAATTCTGGGTGGGTTGCAATATATCTGAAAACTCAACATATATCCAACATGTGACAGCACTATCTAGCAGTTTAGAGGTTCTCACCAGTGAACTGCAGCCGGCTGGTAAGGGCCAAGACGGCAATATCACGACTATTATCGTCAACATTGGGGTCCACAAAGGGCAGGTAGCTACTGTGGAAGACCACCGTCTGCACCTCAGCTGTATGCACGCTGCTGTGAGTGTGAGCTTTGTAGATGGAGCCAAGAAGTACCCTCCACCGAGCTACGTGGCGATACCGCCTAGGAGGAAGGGAACCAGAGGCAAACAGCACCAAAATTCAATCATGTTTAGCCATTTTCTCATTAATACTACAAGAACAACAACAAATAATAATAATAATAATAATAATAATAAAGATCTGTCAAATATTTATATTCTATTTTCTGTTTTGTGTACCATGACCAATGAGGAATATTTCATCTCCGTGTGTGACCCATTCATCAAAGAGCTGTTATGACAATAAAGATGCTTTGACTTGATAATTTTGTTGTCAGTAATATTAAGAGGCATAGGATAGTCAGTAGTAAACAGGTACACTTAATGGTGAACAGAGAGGAAACAGACACTTACTCTGGGAAACAGTGAGCAGCACTGACTATCCAGCGGTCGGAGATGATGGAGCCGCCACACTGGTGAACCCCATCATACTGCAGGCTAACCTGCCATGGCCAGCTGCCCTGCCGGGCATCCAGCCCCCCGACGATGCGATCCTCTGTTAGGCTACGGCGCCCACAGTCTGGAATGGAAATCAGTTAGTGAAAGAATGAGAGAAAGAAGGGGGGAAGTAGATAACAGAATGACAGAAGGAGCCACTTCAGTTTGAAATGAGAGTAGGTTGAGGAGGAAAAGTTAGAAAATAGCACAATCGGGAAAAATAGAATCTGGGAAGGCTGCAGTAGCAAGCAGGACTATCAGTTTTCTACTAAATATTTACCTTGACATTGCACTCTAAGGATCAGCCCACTGTCACAGTTGCTACATGAACAAGGAGAAATTAAGACTTCACATTTTAGTAACATTTAGACTATAAAAAAGTTGACAACTTAAAATTTCAAGGCAACTTACTGCACTAGATTTTTGAGTTTTAAGGACTCAGATTTCTAAGTTTTGAAGAAAATGACCTATTGTTGTGCCAATAACTTTTTTTTTGTTCAGATAATTTATCGTTCATATCTATAAAAACTTCAGTTTTTCAGTTTTACATACCAAGAATTCCAAACGTGTGCCAACTTATTGTCTTTGGTTCAGGTGATTTATCATTCATATGCTTAAAAATTTGATTTTAACATACTAAGCATTCAAAACAGCAAATTCTGTGCCAACTAATTATTATGAATTAAAATAAACAACAATTTCAGTTAACATTCTAGTAACAAGTAATAGTTGACACATTTTGAAGATGTTTTTGAGGAAATTCTCTTCTCACCTTGTCCATGTTGCTGTCCATGAGAGCAAGCTGGGCTGTGTTGGACAGCCACCTGTTGTGGTGCCTAGGGAGCTGGGGTGGGGGGTCAAAGGCCTTGCTCAAAGACCCACAGATATGCTGAGGCTGGGGTTGAACTAGTAACCTTTGAACCATGGGTACAGAGAACCACTGAGCCACACACTCAGGTGTTTGGAAAGTATGCTGAATAAAGTGCCAACACAAAAGGACTATTTACAGTTTTATGACTGCTTAGAGTTTTGGCAAAGTCACAGTCAAGTTGGGGCAGCCTGTGGCTCAATGGGTTAAACCTGTGCCTGTGATCCAAAAGTCACCAGTTCAAGCCCAGCCTCAGCACATCTGTGGATGCTGGAGAATGGCACTGCGCCCTGGGTACTGCTTTGATCTTAATAGATGAAACTCAAATTTTTAAGTTTTTACACATATGTATGAAAGCTAAATCATCCAAACAAAAGACAATAAGTTGGCACTTTTGTACTTATGTAAACCTAAAAATTAGAAGTTTTTATATATATGAAAGATAAATTATCTGAACAAAAAAATTAGTTGTCACAACAACTGGTGGTTTTCTTCAACACTTAAAAGTTTGAGTTGCCCTCAAAACTAAAAAATCTAGGGAAGTAAGTTACCTTGAAATATGAAGTGGTCTTAACTATTTCTTTTTTACAGTGTACTGTCCAAAATTTATAGTAAAGACTCAACAAAAAGGGTTACCATGGAAAGAGGAGCTCTCGAAACTTTTTTCCATATGTTAACTCTTCCACACCCACACAGAAGAAATCCTCGGAATTGTTGATGCCGTTGAGAATGCTGTATACTGAGTGATTGAGAGCCCTAGACCAGAGATGGACAGGTGCCAAAATGTAGTTCTAGATATCCATTAACAGTATCAACATTCAACACTTTAAGGTGCTTTAGTACTAAATAAAATGGTATTAAAAAGACTTGGTGAAAAGAATAACAGAGAAAGGACAACAGAAAAATATAACATAAATAGAACAGAAAGAGAGGGGAAGATTCAAAATTGTGGGCTGGTGACAGGAGAATCTGGATACGACTACATTTGACTGTTATATCTATGCCTGGTGCTGGATTCACCTAACAAAGCCCATCTCTTCGCAGCTGATGTTGGCCAGGAGCTCATTGGAGCTGGATGAACAGACAGACCGCCACCTGCCCTGCATGCGATCAAACACACTCAGCCGTTGGTCAACTGAGTTCACCTGGACTGGAAGGAAGCCAAAGAGAAAAACACTGAATACTGAAAAGATTTTGAAGAAGCAGCAAAATAAATTAAGGTGATTTATATGTGACCACACCTGAACAAAATAATAATTAAAATTACTTACCATCATATAAACCTGTTTCTTCTTGCTTGATTAAAAATGTTACTGAAGACAAAAATATAATATTATAATATGTTGAAAATGTATAATGTACTGAAAAATATATACTAAATTATATTTAAACTATTTATATTCACTGTAAAAGAACAAAGGTAAGACAACTTTCAAGGCTACTTACTACACTAAATGTTTGAGTTTTATGGGCAACTCAAACTTTTACATTTTTAAGAAAAACACATATTGTTATGTCAAGTAATTATTTTTCATTCAGGTAATTTATCTTTCATATCTATAAAAACTTCAAATATTTAGTTGTGCATACTAAGAATTGCTAACTACAAAACTTGTTCTAACCTATTGTCTGCGTAAAGATTTAAAAATTTGAGTTTAGCATACTAAGGCTTCACCCATTGCAGTACCCTGGGGTACAAAAACAGTACCCAAACATATGCTGGGCTGGGCTTGAACTGGCAATCTTTGAGTCAGAGGCATAGAGGTTTAACCCACTGAGCTACATGCTGCCCCCTCTGGACTAGGATGCTGCCAAAACTATGAACAGTTATAAAACTGTAAAAAGTGTTTTTGCGTTAGCACCTTATTCAGCTTATGTTCCATACAGTTCAAGCCCAGCATCAGCACATGTGGGGGCCCTTGAGCAAAGCCGGTGACCCCCAGCTCCCTGGGCACCACAACCAGTAGCTGCCCTTCAAAGTCAAGTTTGCTGTCATTCCCCACAGGAATCCTCAAAATGTATCCGCTATTATTTATTACTATCATGTTGAAAATAAACATGCTAATTGAACTGTTTTATCTTCATTTATAACAATTAGCTTTGTTGTTTGTAATTATTAGTATGTAAAACTAAAAATCAGAATCACCTGAATAAAAAATAATTAGTTGTCACAACAATTGGTTTGAGTCCTCAAAACTCAAAAATGTAGTGCAGTAAGTTGCCTTGAAATTTTAGGTTGTCTTAACTTTTACATTTTTAGAGTGTTCAAACTATCTACAATTTAAAAAATCTTTTGATGACTTCTTCATAAAAATGTACAACACCAAACCCAAAAGGAATTAGCAACCTAGCCAACAGGTTTTTATCTATGTGTAGCAATGGAGCCTATATTTTCTCACCAACAGCCCAAGCTGCTGCTCCAATCCCAACTAGCAGGAACAAGATCAAGAAGGAGGTGATTACCCTACAAGGCGTCAGAAAGGAAATCCCCTGACTTCCTGCAAGACAAAGAAATGGTGCTGCATTTATTTCAGGCACCTAACCACATGGAACCAACAACAGATGAGAAAAAGGTGTGAATCTGATTTGTGGTATCCAAACCACAATAACAGTACATCATTATGTGAGGTTGCAGAAGGTGGCAGAAGAGTGTGATCAATAGTCCAAAGTCTGCAGACTTTCTCCAAAGCTAAAGCAAACTCTCCCTAGTGGGATCACTACCATCATTGGCCTGCCTAATGTGTCACTCTGCTTCACAGTTCAGGGAGGGTGACTCCGTGATCAGATAGTCTAATAGGAAACTTCAAAAGGATTTTCTGGGACCTGGTGGTAACAACATTGGAAATGATAAAGATGAATATTTCTGTAACTCTGAGAATAGTCAACTGGACCCACCTTCTAAGTTGATTAGAAACAAAATATATATGTTATATATGTACAGTATATGTTAATCTTCTATAATTACACCTGGGAAATATCAGGAAGCCAGAAAAATGGTACACAACTGATGATGATACCTTATAATTTTCTGTACCTGAACCAAAATATTTGGACAGATTTGTGATTCAGTGAAAGCCTGTTACTTTGTGCCTTCTGTTAGGGTTTCCATTTAGTCTCGGATTTGGAGGTGCTGATTTTCATCCCAGCCGCTTCACACTCGGCTGCGAACTGCTCCAGTGAGAGCCGAAGGTCACGGTCTGATGAGGCCAACAGAACCACATCATCTGCAAAAAGCAGAGACCTAATCCTGAGGTCACCAAACCGGACACCCTCAACGCCTGGGCTGCGCCTAGAAATTGTCCATAAAAGTTTTGAACAGAATCGGTGACAAAGGGCAGCCCTGGCGGAGTCCAACCGTCACCGGAAACGAGTCTGACTTACTGCCGACAATGTGGACCAAGCTCTGACACCGGTTGTACAGGGACTGAACAGCCCTTATAAGGTAGCCCGGCACCCCATACTCCCGGAGCACTCCTCACAGGACTCCCCGAGGGACGCGGTTGAATGTCTTCTCCAAGTCCACAAAGCACATGTAGATTGGTTGGGCAAACTCCCATGCACCATCCAGAACCCTGCCGAGAGTATAGAGCTGGTCCACTGTTCCATGGGCAGGGAGAAAACCACACTGCTCCTCCTGAATCTGAGGTTCGACTATCCGACAGACCCTCCTCTCCAGCACCCCCCAATAGACCTTAGCAGGGAGGCTGAGGAGTGTGATCTCCCTATAGTTGGAACACACCCTCCGGTTCCCCTTCTTGAAGAGGGAGACCACCACCCCAGTCTGCCAATCCAGAGGCACTGCTTCCGATGTCCACGCGATGCTGCAGATGCGTGTCAACCTAGACAGCCCTGCAACATCCAGAGCCTTGAGGAACTCCGGGCCGATCTCATCCACCCCTGGGGCCCGGCCACCGAGGAGCTTTTTAACCACCTCAGCGACCTCCGCCCCAGAGATAGGGGAGTCCACCCCTAAGTCCCCAGACTCTGCTTCCTAAATGGAAGGCATGTCAGTGGGATTGAGGAGGTCTTCGAAGTATTCCCTCCACCGACACACAATGTCCCGAGCTGAGATTAGCAGCACCGCATCCCCACCATAAACAGTGTTGATGCCGCACCGCTTTCCCGCCCTTAGTTTTTGCCTCAGCGACCGCCGAAGCCGCGTTCTGCTTGGTCCACCGGTACTCATCAGCTGCCTCCAGAGTGCCACAGGCCAAAAAGGCCCGATAGGACTCCGTCTTCCGCTAGACGGCATCCCTCACTGCTGGTATCCACCAGCAGGTTCGGGGTTTGCCGCCACGACAGGCACCGACCACCTTACGGCCACAGCTCTGGTCAGCCGCCTCCACAATGGAGGCGCGGAACATGGCCCATTCGAACTCAATGTCCCCCGACTCCCCCAGGACATGGGTGAAGTTCTGCTGGAGGTAGGAGTTGAAGCTCCTTCTGACAGGGGATTCCGCCAGACGTTCCCAGCAGACCTGCACTATATGCTTGGGTCTGCCAGGTCTGACCGGCTTCCTCCCCCACCAGCGGAGCCAACCCACCACCAGGTCGTGATCGGTTGACAGCTCCATCCCTCTCCTAACCCGAGTGTCCAATACGTGCGGCCGCAAGTCCGACGACACGACCACAAAGTCGATCATCGAACTGCGGCCTAGGGTGTCCTGGTGCCAAGTGCACATATGGACACCCTTATGCTTGAACATGATGTTCATTATGGACAATCTGTGACGAGCACAGAAGTCCAATAACAAAACACCACTTGGGTTCAGATCAGGGGGGGCGTTTCTCCCAATCACGCCCCTCCAGGTCTCACTGTCATTGCCCACGTGAGCATTGAAGTCCCCCAGCAGAACAACAGAGTCCCCAGGAGGAGCGCTCTCCAACGCCCCTTCCAAGGTCTCCAAAAATGGGTGGGTATTCTGAACTGCCATTTGGCGCATAAGCCCCCCACCCGAAGGTGAAGGGAGGCTACCCTCTCGTCCACCTTGGTAAACCCCAATGTACAGGTGCCCAGCCAGGGGGCAATAAGTATGCCCAGCCCCGCTCGGCGCCTCTCCCTGTGAGCAACTCCAGAGTGGAAGAGGGTCCAACCACCCTCAAGGAGACTGGTTCCAGAGCCCAAGCTGTGTGTCGAGGTGAGTCCGACTATATCTAGTCGGAACCTCACAACCTCGCGCACCAGCTCAGGCTCCTTCCCCACCAGAGAGGTGACATTCCATGTCCCTAGAGCTAGCTTCTGCAACCAAGGATCGGACCGCCAAAGTCCCCGCCTTCGGCCACTGCCCAACTCACAGTGCATCCGACCCCTTTGGCCCCTCCTACAGTTGGTGAGCCCATTGGAGGGATGGGGAAATATTTTTCAGGAAAATATTCCCATGAATTTACAATAAAATGCCTCTGCAAAGCTTGAAAAACATCTGACGAATAGTTTTTGAGAAAATGTCTTAATAGTACCAAGTGTCAAAACTGCCCTGTTTTTTCTATCACTGTGGTGCTGCTTCAATTTTGGGGGGGATCTGTCTCAAAATTTAGTCAGTTCCAATTTGCTACTAATACAATGCCTCCGAAAACTTTGAAAAAGGCCCATCAAACGGTTTTGAGTTACCGTTTTAATAAGCAAAGACACTGAAGCAGCGGCAGACTGGTCCCAAAACAACGAGCACCCTGGCAATTGTAATTAATTTCAGCATTAATTACTGTGGTCTTACAAGCACCCTGGTATTATCTTCTGCGCAGTGATATGATTGGTGTGTGGTTTCTACATTAAACTGCACATTACAATGTCTATGGATTATCTTGAGTAACTCGGTCATTATTTCTGCTGATTTTTTTAAATGTAGTTTTTTTGGCGCTTTAAACATGACAAAAAGAATGCCATTCAGTGTCATTACACTTGTGAGAAGACTGATATTTCTATGTCCGATATCTCCAAAATGAGATAAGTCCTAGCAGAACAACCCCGATGGACAGATAACTCTAAAGCACCGCTAAAAAATTAGTTTTTTCAGTTTTGGGGTGAACTGCCCCTTTAAATAAAGAAATGAACCAAATGATGACACATGCAAAGAGCAAGACCTAGGCAGAATGGGAACATTGGTCCTAGAAATTTACTGAAAAAATATATTAAAATCTCAATATTCATATAATCAATATTTAATAGTCGGAAACACTAAGAGTTTTAATTCTTTTAACATGACACTGAAAGAAACATTTTTTTTAAAGAAACAGTATTGTCATGTGTGCGTACTGATGAACATAATGGTTGATGAATATGCACAGACACAATATAACTACTTATTACATTTCTAAAAAAAGAAAGAAATTGCATAAAGCATAAATATAATCATTTTTGGTTAACTGTAATTGTTTTTGGAATTTGACTGTGAATAGTGTTATGCCATTTATTTACTTATTTCTTTCCGCTCCTGAATCATGCTAAGAATATACAAAAGGGTCAAAGAGACATGGCATTTTATTCATATTTGAGAATGGAAAATGTGTTTTTAATACTTGGTGTCTGGGATTTGCAGTATTTTAATGAATAATGAATCTTTATGTCTCGCTTCAATGCGAAGTTGATGTCTCAAATATCTCCATGTCAAAGGATTATTCATCTCTTTATAACAGATGTTGAACGGAAAATGACATACCTGTATGTGACTTTTTGCTAAAAATATTTCTGAAATGTCAAACAAAACGGTTAAGTGTATTTTTGATGATAACTACTACACTTAAAAATGCTGACAGAAGCACTGCTCCTCTGGATTTAGGATAGCGGCAGCCCTCAAAACACTGCAGACCTTAAAGGAGAATTGACAAACCCAGCACTGGGGGTCAGTATCAAATAGGACTCAAACATAATAACTCTTTCATGATTGTTCATGAAGTTGTTATTTAACCCCCCCCCCCCCCAAAAAAAAAGATAATGTCGTGCTCACCTATCACTCTCAGACAGCAATTTACTAGCAGCCTCCATTTTCTCTGGCATTCCTAAAGCTACCTGTTATAGAACAAATGCTCCTATTGTTTCAGCTGAGCTTGGCTGAAACAAATGAGTCTATAGAAAAAAGCCTGACCTCGCGAGCAGAGACATCTAAGGTCAGGCTGGGCTTACCTGCAGCTCCCTCCCACAGAGAGGCCTTAAACGCCTCTGAAAACCATGAGCCTACAGTTAACAGAAATAAATCCATCCATCTTGTAAAAACTTGACCTGGTCTGCGTCACAGGAGAAATAATATTCTCAATATCTTACTGTACCTATTACTGTGAATTTGTTTGCACTAGGATAATTGATGTAGAAATCAATTGTACAAATCAAATAATTATAAGCAATTATATGACAATAGCATAACAAAAGAAAAAACACACCTTTTTTAGTATGTCTTAGCTCATTTTAAAAGTACTGGGATTCATTTAACCAGAACATAAGGCACGGACAAAAAAAAAACATATCTTTAAATCATCACAGAACCCCAAATACATCAAATATAACACATACATCGATCACAGAGATTATAATAATATATACCTGTAAATGACAGTGGCAGATTATGGAACATAAGGCAATTACAGAACAAATGATAATGAATGTTTATTTTAAGAGAATTCAACTTTATCACCAATGGATATTCATACAATAATAAATCTTGATGTTGTTCTGAAAACTTAAGTTAACATCAATGTGTCAAATCAAAACCCAAATACAGGCCAAGAATTGGGGACGCAATATTACAAAAGTTCGTTTTCAAAATGTACATATTTTAATATTATTAAAAATTCCAATTTTGCATTTAGCTATTTAAATCCCAGACCGATGTTCAAGACTAACTCATAATACAAACTGTTTCTTGATTAGAAATACGTCACCATATGCAAACAAACCGCTAAGATCTCAGGCTGATTCGAAACTAAACTTGTGTTCTGTTGGATTAGGACTAAGGAAAATCACATTTAATGCATAATAATAGACGACGCTCAAGAATTATTGGGGACTGCTGATAGACAAATACAAAGGAAAGGTTATGGGAACTGGTAAACTGCTGGTATAATTGTACTTTTTCATACCGTTAAAAATAATTTTGTCTAAAAGTTCCAGTTAAAATTATATCCATTGTTCGATCTAAATGTATTTTGATCTAGGACACGGCCTCTTAAAGCCCCTTCATATTAGTGAGCGCACAAAAAGTATACGACAAAGAGCATCCACTTCTATTAATCTTTAACATCTGACTGAGCTGGAAGGAGACAAAGTGTACGTATTTTAAAATGCATTTACAGCATTTACCGTTGTTTTTCTCCGACATCTCTCAGAAGAGAACGCACTTTCCTCCAACCAATGCAAAGCTCACTGATATTCAGAACCTGGAATGAAAAAGGTTCATCAGCACGCGGACCTGCTGTTTTCAGGCAAAAAAGGGTTAATTAAGTTAAATATACAAAAGGGTAAAAGGGCATGCATGATTTGTTGTAAGTACATCTACCGAATAATATGTGTGTGTGTGTGTGTGTGTGTGTGTGTGTGTGTGTGTATATATATATATATATATATATATATATATATATATATATATATATATATATATATATATATCACGAATAATGTATTTATGTGAATGAAAATATAGGGTGTGTGTGTGTGTCTATGTATATATAAATCTGGATCACATTACTAGGTCTTAGTCATTGTTGCTATCACCATCATCTTTCTTTTTTTCTTTCTTTATTATGTTAACATAATTATATACATTATATCGTTGTGCTTGTACAGGCCTCGCATTCACTATATCAAATGTAAAATATTATATATGTAATAAACAATATTGCAAAAAAATTCAAGTCTTCATATATTTTGCTAAACTATTTTCTGTTATAGCAACATACTGTAATATGACTTACCTTAAATGTAAAACGAAGTCTTCTGGCAGGTTTTTAAGTGGAAAATCTTATAAAAATAAACAGAAAGTAGGAGTTAGGTGAAAAGTTTGATTATACGTTCCGAAGTACGACAATTACAGAAAGAGTGTTAAAAATGGACAAAAAATAAGATAATATGCAAAAAAAAAATAAAAAAAATAGGCTACCCTTTGTAATCCAGCAATCTCTTCTTTTGTCGGTAGGCATACGTAAGTTAAAAGTGTATATTTCTACACTTCTTTTCCAGTGTCTTGTAAAAGTAAAAAAGAGAACCTCATTTTAATAAAGTTATTTCACCTGAAAGACTACAGGGGGTCATTTGAAAATCTTGCTCTTTGTGTTGTTTTTGTTTAATCTAACTTAACATTCAACGAAATTCGATGCCCCAATCTGCGCGAATTGTCCAGGGCACACAGACTCAGGAGAGATACTGGCGACGTCATCAGAGCGTTGCCTTTTGCTAGAAAGGGGACTCTCATTAGCCAAGCTTCGCCGAATTTCCACTACACCTGCAACGTAAAAAAACAAAGCCTGAATTTTATATGCAGTATTTAATAATGCTTCATTATACAGTATGTCAATATTTCAAAACTATCCTTTATTGTGCAGTGTGTTTGTTGTCCCAGTCTACTGTTGATTTTTTTAAACGTATTTTGTCTGTATACAATAAGGTAAACGTATTACTAAATAATGACTGAATGTAGACAGATTTGCTAAATTGCTAAGGCTTTTATAATGACTCGTATAGTGTAAACAAACAACATTGAACCATTTTTGTGGCAAATTACCTACAGGGAATATGGGAGGACCCAGAACAGGGGAAAAAAGAGGTTCAATGTATTTCTGTATAGAAAGAATTCACAATGTGTTGCTGGATCAATATGTTTAGTTTCTACTCACACATTCAAAAAAAAAGTTGGCTCATCTTAAAGGTTTCAATTTGCATGCTTTTTAAAAGTTATTCCTGTGTAAATTGAGTAAACTATATGAGCATTTTCAAGATTCAAGATTCTTTATTTGTCACATGTAGTTATAGCTGGTACAACATACAGTGAAATGTGTTTCCCTGGCTGAACTCCGACTGTGCTAGACGTAGGATAAGTATATAAGTACTAACAGAGGATAAGTATAAAAAGGGTACATATATATACAGAAGTAAAGATGCATTTACCATGTAATAAATAAAGTACCATAAGGTGCAGACAAGGTAAGGTGCAGATGTGCCATGAGGTACAGATGTTTTATAATTTACAGATTTTTACATTTTAAAGATAGACTAACTTAAATTTAAGGGCAGTCAAAACTATATTCACCTTTACTTCTACAAAGCTAATTGTTGAAACAACATATCACTATAACTTCTAAATGGATGTTTGTCACACACACCAGAAGGGACGACCCACAATGCAGCCTTTAGCAGGTGAAACCCTACATGGGGGGCTTTATTCAGGACAACAGCACAAGCACAGAAGCACTGACAAGTAACGATGACTGGACTATAGCGAGCAGATGACTAGTGAGCACTTAGTTCCTGGGTCCCCATCTATATAACACACAACAGCTGCAGGGAGTCATTAACTAGGGAGCAGGGACATGTAATGAGGTTATTAAACTCCAGGCTCATTAGGGTCATGCCCAGGAGGAGAACTGGGGGAGAAGGCTGACCAGAGGTGTCACGGACTCGGGTGGTTCGGGCGCCAGGACAAATGTGGATGACCCACTTGCGGCTTGCAGGGAAATCGGGGTTTATTAAACTGAAAACACTAGGAACACTACAAAAAGCAAAAAGGGGTCAAAAGCAAAAGGGGGGGGGAAAAAAAAAAGGACTAATTACACTTGGGTCAGGGCAAACAAGAGGCAGGCAGAACATACATCATAAATCTAACATCAAACATACATTAAAGAAACATCAATAACTCCAAGAAGAACAGAACAGGATCAGGAACTTAAATACAAAAACTAAATTGGGTAATGACACAACAAGAGTGAGACATAGACAATTAACCAATCCGGGAGGGGCCAGGGCAACGAGCAATCAGGTAAACATACAAGGGCAGGCACAAAATCAGGCAACAGGTGAAACTAATAATTAAACTCAGAGAACTAAAACTAACAAAGAATATAGAATATCAGTTTTAGGATATCATATTTTTTAGAATCCATGCCTTTGGGCTGGCCTTCAGACCATTGAGTTCCAGAAATATCTTTTAAAATGACTCGAAAGTGTTCCTCAGTTGTTTTGGGTAGCTGAGGTTCAGTGCATATATCAGCCCCATTAGCAAAACAAAGGCTCTGGCTACATCCAGGTCTTTTAGGACACCTGTTCCCCCAATCACTGTCTGTGCACTATGGGAATCAGATGTTCTGGCACTTCTAGTGATGAAAATTTTCATCACTTCTTCGGTAACCTGCACTTCACCATCATGGTATAAGTAGGTCAGAATCAACATTTTAACGCCAAGATATCATATTTAAAAGCGAGAGACCAAGTACAGTGTGCCAGTGTCTGATTTCCCTACCAAGTGTTCCTTGAAAATATCCTCCTGCTTTTCTCTGAGATACACCACACTGTAAAAAAACAAGGTATATTGCAGGTACATTTTTGTTCCTTAAGGTACAAATCTGGCAATTGTTCCCTTAAAAGAACAAGATTGTTCCTTAAATGCAAAGGTTTGAACCTTTTAAGTACAAAATTGTATCTTCAGTATTACACTTTGGATTTCCCAGAGGTGAAAGGTACACTTTCATATCCTTTTGTCCAACTGGCTAATAATTAAAATGAAAATGACCATTCTGTCATACGTGAACACACCACAGCACACAGTGTGAACAGCATGAAACAAACAAGGACTTACTGTTTGAAGAGTGGAATAATATTACGTTCATGCTATAAGTTAATTAACTGTAATTTTGTAAATATATAAGTTTTAATTTTGAAATTTTCATCCAAATGTATGTAAAGAATGAAAAAAAATGAGAAAGAGAAAAAAAATTATATATATGGAAAAATATATATATTACATGTATTGTCTTACGCCAAAATCTATAATCGGCTTCCAGAAGTTCTGTTAAAATGATCTAGCTATCCTTACTATTTGCATCTGCGGAAGAATCATACAAATCACACATTGCGTAAGAACAAGGATTTTGCATTGAGCAAATACCCAGAAGAACACGCGCACGAGACGGTGTCTATCTTCTAATCCGACCACCAACCATTGTCATTTAAAGGATGGCACTCTCAGTATGGGAGGTATTTTCTGCAAAAAATAAAATTAAAATGAAAATGATAAAAAGAAAATACAATCTCCACTTTGCCATTTATTTCCCAAAGTCTGTGTTATCAATGGACCAACTGCTGACGGAGCTAATTAAGGGAGGAATTGAAGTTACAGATGAGGAGCGGACCAAATTTAAAGGTATGTGAATTCTATTTAGTGTTTGTTTATAACTAAGTGTTATACTGTAGGGTGAAACATTAATACTAAAAAGGCCATTAGCGAAATGCCTTGCTAGTTTACTTTTACGGTGATGTTCTCAGAGTAGCTAAAATTAGCTGGCCTCATAGCCTTGTTTGAGCACTCTGAGGTAAAAGTTGGCGCCAATTTAAAATATGAGTCATTAAACTAAGTAATATTGGCGTGATAGCGACATAGTGATATGGCTAGCTAATTACATTACTTAACTTATCTCGCATAGTACTAGTTTAACTAACATTATACAAAGCCACGCTTTCCTTAGTATTGGGAATGCACGGTAGCTAAAATTAACTGGCCACATAGCCATGTTTGAGCACTCTGAGGTAAAAGTTGGCGCCAATTTAAGAAACGAGTCATTATTAAACTAAATAATATTAGTATACTAATAACTGGCTTAGTGTTTAACTTAAACATATAGTATGCAAAATAAGTAAGCTAATGGTATGATAAGCCACAAATTCTTTAGTATGAGGAATGCAGTTTGCTATTAATTACCACTGGCAAACAAAATACTGTAGCCAAGAACCATACTGTCGTCGTTGGTTCTATTGTAGCCAGGCTATATCCCTGCTAAATGGCTATTTTGCTAACATTAGTTTTACATTTTAGAGATATAGCTCTATAAGATATTTTTAAAATTTGGATAAATATTAAATATGTAATATATTGGGATGGTTGTAGGCTAGTGGAATCCATCTCCACTGGGTCAGTAGGCAAGACCACCAAGTTGCTCCAGGGACACTGTAGCTATATTTGGGCAGTGGAAATCACTCTGGATAAGAGCGTCAGCTAAATTCCATAAATATTAAAGTATATTTTGAGGCCATTTGACACCAGCTAAAAAATGTACAGTGACTCCACTCACTTAAGCCAACATGTTTAGATTGGATTGGATTGGATAGGACTTTATTGATCCCACAGTGGGGAAATTTGTGCGTTACCACAGCTCTAGAGTAGACAGATAGCCTGAAAGAGTACAAGAGTAATCCAAGAATATAAAATATAAGAATAAGATACAAGAAAAAAAAAAAATAAAAAATAAAATAAGATAAAACACTAAATACAGCAGTAGTGCCTATGTACACCCATACACAGTATGTAATATATGGATAGTGGGTTGTGGGAAAAAGTGCAAGTAATGATAAATAACAACTATCTCACTACTACAGCTGCATTTACCTCTATAAGGTGCGTTATGTATGAAGTGGTAAGTAGTGGTGACCGTAGACGTAAGTATCTCGGTGACTCATGACATCATCATGATGTGTTATAGAGTCTAGCTGCTGTCGGGATGAATGATCTGCGAAAGCGCTCCTTTCTGCAGCGAGGGTGTATCAGTCTCTGACTGAAGGAGCTACTCAGCACACTCACAGTCTCATGCAGAGGGTGATGTGGGTTGTTCATGATGGATGTCAGCTTAGCTAACATCCTCCTCTCACCCACCACCTCCACAGTCTCCAGAGGGCATCCCAGCACAGAGCTAGACCTCCGCACCAATTTGTCAATCCTGCTTCTGTCCCTTTCCGTGCATCCGCTCCCCCAGCAGGCCACTGCATAGAAAAGGGCGGATGCTACCACAGAATCGTAGAATGTCCTTAACAGGGTCCTGCATACTCCGAAGGACCTCAGACTCAGAACCTCAGCAGGTAGAGTCGACTCTGGCCCTTCTTATACAGGACGTCTGTATTTGTAGTCCAGTCCAGTTTATTGTTGAGGTGAACACCCAGGTACTTGTAAGAGTCCACTACCTCAATGACTTTTCCCTGGATGCTCACCGGTGTTGGAGGGGGTGCCTTCCTCCTAAAATCTATGACCATCTCCTTCGTCTTGCTGGCGTTGATTTGGAGAGCATTAGTCTCACACCAGCTGACAAAGTCACTGATGACCCCCCTGTATTCCTGATCGTTCCCGTCTGATACGCATCCGATGATGGCTGTATCATCCGAGAACTTTTGTAGGTGGCACTGGTCTGAATTATAACGGAAGTCAGAAGTGTACAGGCTGAACAGGAAGGGTGAGAGAACCGTGCCCTGCGGCGCGCCCGTGCTGCAGATTACCGTCTTGGACACACAGTCATGGAGCCTCACATTTAAGTTTAAGTTTAAGTTTAAGGGTAACTAAAAGATGTTGACATATTATTTCCTTTTTAATGTGTTAGATAATGAAGTAGACGGAGAAGCTGTCTACTTATGTCGGTCTAACAGAGAGGATGGTCTCCTACCTATTTGACGGGTCGTTTAAAAAACAAGCTAAATTCATCCGATTTGTTGAACAGTGGAAGGAATCTGTGACATTGACTCTTGAACCTGTTCCTGCTGAATCCCTGCAAGCTTCAGTAGAAGAAAGGTAATATTTACTTCGGTGTAAATTTATGTGACTTTTGGTAGAGCCATATATTCTCAATACATAAAGTTATATACAGAGGTGGCCAAAATGTTTTTGGTTTAATTAAATTGGGGTAGCAGTATGTAGTAGGGCTGCACGATATTGGGAATAAATCACATTGCAATATTTATTCTTTCTGCGATATATATTGCGATATTGGGATTTAAAAAATTCTAATTAGTTCAATAGCTCTATTGCAGGGGTATTCAACTAAAATTTAAAGAGGTCCAGTTAGATAAAATTTCTTGAAGCAAAGGTCCGGAAGATCATAATGTCTAACTATTTAGTGTGATGTATATTTAAGTAGCATATCAGTTGTATCAACATTGCATGTAATCTGTACCTGACTGTCAAATCAAATTAATTCAGTGCAATTCAATTCGAGATGTCTGCACACACATGTAACAGTTCTTACCTTGTAAATAGTATGCTTTTGTATTTAACCATGTAAACACACTTTTGACATAGCTCATTTTAGGTTTATAATGGAATAATATACTGTAGATTTGCCGTAAGATTTCCTACGCAAGTCTGAAATCATGAGTGGCGTGCCAGATGCTGAAAACGTACAATTTTTGTTTCACTTGAGTTGATCTATATAACAGATAATATTACTTTATACATATGTTAAAAAGCGGAAACTTCCACGAACATGAAATCACCAATAAACTATGTCTATTTATCCAACATGTTATATAATACATACTGTATTTGAAAACTTTTCAGCTATATGATTTCAGGACAGACCAGCCACTCTCTTAGGAACATTACAGATTTTTGGTTGCGGGTGTTCGCTTCACTGCTGTTATTAAGCAGCCACTCTGTTAGGAACATTACGGCTTTTTGGTCGCTTTGCTGCTGTTATTAACACTAATGGCACATTAGAGCAGACAAAGGGCTGCATACAACGAACTACGCTTCACAGTTAAAGGCGTTTGACGTGCATTGGTGTGGGAAGCGGCAGTTCTAGTGCTAAACCACTACCGAAAAGACTACAAAAGCTGTGGCGGTTAAAATAGAAGAGCCCCATCAGGTTTTAAATCATAACTTTCTGTTTTGGCTATCGGTCCAGGTCCGTATGGGACAGCTTCTGCGTCTGGGTCCGGCGTGGTCCGCCTGTTAGTGACCGCTGCTCTATTGGTATAATTAATCATTCTAGAAAGATTGACCTGATTTAGCCCAAATATAATGGTAATGATAACTTAATCAGTACTAAACAGACCATGAGCATTAAACTATGGAAGCTTATCGCATATGAGAGTTAACATGAGTGACAAAATAACGCTGGGTTAAATGGTTAGAATGTTTGTGCTTGGTGGTTCGTTCTGTGATCGACATGTTTGTTAGCTGCCGGTGCAAAGCTGCGTGTCGACTCCGTATACAAAAACCTTTAAATTGATTTAAATTATGTTAGACAGACTTTTGTGGATTGTTTAAGAATAAGAACAGTGTGACATTTGTTAGTTCAGCAAAAACACAAAAAGCGTTGTCCACGCCGCTTAATTTAATTTGCGTTACTTAACATCGCACATCCTGCGATGTGACTATTGCACGTGCGTACATTGCGATGACGATGCTGAAATGATATATCGTGCAGCCCTAGTATGTAGTATTGTGATGTCTCAAAATGTCATTACTCACCTGAATAGTATTGTCACCTCAGCTATGTATAAATGTAGAATTAAAACGTTCAAAAAAGAAATTCTTTAATTGAAGTGTGTATGCATTCCCCCCCTTCCACATACACAGTCAAGCCACCCAATCAGCACCCTTTCCTGCAGTTTTTATAATTCCTAAGTTTCCAAGAGATGTTCAGACAACATTGGACTAAAAGCAGGCTTGTTTGATTGAGCAGTCAGATTGCAGCAAAATTGTTAGAACACTCTATGAAAGCATGGTTCAGTACAAACTGTAAGTGCACCAACTGGCTTAGTGCTTTTAATTAAAATTTTGTTTTATTACAGTTTAATTAGCCTCTGACCTTTTACAGATATGCTTTTTTTCACCATTGCCATAGGTTTCTCAGCAGTGATGAGTATGTGCGTGTATGCAAGGCACTGATTTTGAAGTACCCTTTCTTAAAGGACAAAGACGGGAATGGTTATGTGAGTTTTGCTTTGGTAACTTATTTTGACAAAAGGATTGTAATAAATTACAATGTTAAATGTAAATTCTGGTCCCTGCATAATATTTTGGTTGCCCACTACATATTTATCTGCTAAGACACTTTGTCATTTGGTGTCTTAAATACTGCTTGAATTATATCCGGGTACTACATCTTACTTTTTCGCAGCATACTTGGCACGTGTCACTAAGACGAAAGTTTAAATATGAACGCAAACCACTAATTGATGTGGAAGAGTTACAAAGAATGAAGAGGAAGTTTGGACATGCCAAAAAGTTCCAGCAACATGAAGAAAATGCTTGCAAGCGAAGAAAGAAATCGGTGATAATGAGAAGACAGTTCTTAAAGAATGGTTTAGATGAATTTTTTCCCCTAATCTTAACAGTAGAGCATAAATTTAAGCTTTTGACAATCTGTTGACAGTGTTTTACTTAGCAGTGGCACCAGACTTCTGCATGATATCTCTTGCTCTCTGCATGACAGGAGATATCTATTGTTGGGGAGGATGCTACCTCAGTAGAGAGACATGTAAAGGTCCTGCAGGATCAATATCGAAAGACACATCCAGATGTGCACATTGTGGAGGACCGTATGCATAGGACATTTGCCTGGAGGAGGCAGGAAATTGCCAATGGGATGATGCTCCATGATACCATCAACAAATATCCATTCCTACAGAATCCATCTGGGGTTTGTATACCCTGCTTTCTTGAAATTTAACTTAAGGGTTAATCTATCATTTCTATAACAGTTTACATTTATCATAGATTTTGTGTAACATAACCTGTTTGTGGTTTTCCTATTGCAGCTTTTTCAATAAGTGGCTAAAAAGAAATCTTCCTTTGCAACTTTAATAAGTGAAGAGAGAGAGTTGGCCCTTGCTGAAGATGTACCTCGTAAGTGTACAAAGTTGCTAGTATTATCACTGAAGAAACAAAATAACATGCCCTGCAGGTTTCCTTTTTATCTGTAACAGTAAATCAAATGTTTTGTTCCATCTGTTAATCATTATGTCGACCTAAAGTGTCCAGAGTGTTTGTTAATCCAACCCAATCAAAGCACACTATAAATATACTTAATTTATTCTTTCCTCTGTTTTAAATGAACTTTCAGGGATTGATTTCAATTCTGCTATCCTACTGTTGCCAATCCTGTTCAGGGAGAAACTTGAGAATTACATCATTCTTGGGGAGGTAAGCATGTATCTTATTTTCTGTAATTTATTCGTTTAATGTCACAGTTTCACATTACATGTGTTATTGCTGTAAAACTGATTTATTACCTTTTTAGGCTGAGCCAACATCACCATATCCAACTATCCAGGAGGAGGATGTCACAATCTGGAGGTCTCTGTTCACAGGAAGAGTCTCTGCAGTTATCAAGGTGGATGGGTTGTCGGTTTGCAGAGCACAAAGTCTTGAGGAGGGTGTCCTCGCAGTGCTGGCCTCCCTTGTTATCTGTGTGTGTGTGTGTGTGTGTGTGTGTGTGTGTGTGGGGGGGGGGGTCACTAACCCCCCTTTGGTGCCTAGGCTAATGTTTACCTCATACCAGGCTAGGCCTGGTCTCAGGCCACCTGGAATTTAAGGGGCAGGAGTCACGCTACTGCAGCATATTGGGCTTATACATGCACATGAGCTGAACTGTACACTCAGTTAAGAATTGAGATACTAGAGAATATCTAGAAAGAAAAGCTTTAGATGTTTGCATATTAATGAAAGAATAGTTAAATTTGAACTCAGACCTAGAGTATATTAGACTAGTGACTGTATTACAATAAGTGTTATGCTAATACACAGTTTTTTGAGCTGTGTAAGAATAATAAATATTAATTTTTATTTATTAAAGAAAAACAGTATAATAAAACAGTTATGGTGTATGCTTATACAAACAAGAAATTACAGCACACCAGTAACTAGCCATAATCAATATAATACATGCAAAATGTTTTACATTTTCAAAACATCATGAAAACATGAGTAACAAGCATATGAAGCCCTCACAACTTTATGTGATGACTGCATGAAGCATTTCAAAAAACTTGCAAAGAACCCTCTGATGTCTCTTTTGAAGTGTTACTTACCCTCAACTGTACTTGAACATTTTATAACATATTAGCATATAAACCTATATGTAAACAAAACATGGAAACTAAACAATGTATGTACACAAAGAATATCTGTAAAACCTCCAACGGTTTTTTTGTATTACAGTACGTGCTGTGTCACTCCAAAGCTTGATCTCAAATAACTTTTCAAGTATACCATTTCAAGTATAAATCTGTTTTTTTCTGAATACTACATTCTGTGAGTAAAGAAAAATAAATCAATATTTAAACATAATGTAAACACAACATAAAAATGTATTTTAACATTTAAACTAAGAATATATGCAATATTTCCAGCAGTTCTCAATATCAAATAACTTTTCAAGTGTACATTTTTAAGATACATTTTCAAGTATGGTTTTCTTACATTAAGTGAGTATTGAAATATAAGTCAGTATTTAAACATAATGAAAACACAACATAAGTTGTATGTAAAGACAGTGTTCCAATTCTTTATCTTAAATTTGATACCTTCTTTTTTTGTTCAGAAATTCAATGGGTATAGAATTTTGAATCAATATATAAACCTAAGATGTAAGCACAACACATACAGTGTATTTCCAGTTATCATATGCAAAGCTTCAGTGTAATACATTCAACCTTATGTTTTCAAGTTTGAAACTATTTGTTCAGAATTCTGTATTTACAGTCATTGAAGGTGTGTGTGTGGGTGTGTGTCAGTGTGTGATGTGTGTGTTTAGAAAATTATGCAGCTACACAATGTCCATGACCCAGATGTTACTTTCCAGAACACAGTTAAATTCAGCACGGAACTGTGGGAAATTATCATAGGAGTCAGACAGTTCTAGGACCATTCCACAGGTATGTCCAATTGGCCTTCTAGTAAAATCTGTCTGGATGGTGAACGCTACCTGAATGGCCTCTGTAACCACCAAATCGGAACCAGTACAGAATCTCAAAAATCTGCTGAGTTTATCTTCGTCAGTTTCCCTGATGTACCTTTTCAAGTGATTGGCAACCTCTGTTTGATTTTCTGACATTTCTGATAGGAACTTCAACAGCCCAGTCACCTTTTTTGGTGTTGGTTTCAAGTCTTTGTATAGCTGTTGAATTTCTTCACAGTTTAAAGAGATCAGGTCTTTTGTGACCTCCCTCAAGCAGTCAATAACGAACATTGGTTTCTGAATGAGTTCCTTGTGAGCAATTTCATCAATTATTCCTGGTAGAGTGGAAGCAGTGACCCTCCTCCTGCACTCATACTGTAAGTGTTCATGATCTCCAAAAGCTCATCCATGTCGACAGAGGAAAAGTCGTTGAGTGCTTGATTGAGAACATCTCGCTCCTGGCAGCTGACAAACTTCAGGAATGTTGCCTTCAGGTCTGTATATACAACCCCAAGCAGCATTTCCTCAACCAATGGTTGAGCAATCTTGATGGGCATGTATTTGTAGTCTTTACAAGTCATGCCTGAGGAAAGGCACTTTTACAGATGTTCCGATGGTGCAGTGTTCATAGAAATCAGACCAGAAGTTACTGTACACATCACAGAGGACACCTGACCCACTACCTTCCTCTGAGTTGTTGGGAAGTATACGTTTTACTGTCAAGGACTGGGTGACAATCTCATGATCAGAAAATGCCTCAATCATGTTGTTGAAGCTATGTGAATAGTGTATGGTCAAATTCCTGTTCTGTAAATCATTAGGAACATTTTGTGGTGAGTCACAAGGGTCATGGATCACTGTGTCACTGAGAAAATCTTCCTCAGTAGGCTGTTGTGGACCAAATGTGATCTCTGGGTCACTGCTGACATTGAATACCATGCCTGCATGATGGTCTTCTGAGGAATGAGGAACTTCTTCATCAGAAATGAAAAAAACATCAGGAACAGTGTCCACAAGCTCATATATCTCTAGTTGCTTGTTTTCATTCTAAGAACAGTCATCAACTTTTGTTGAATCAATCAGATATGTCACCAGCCTGGTCAGGTTCATCACTAGACTCCTCAGTCAAGCTCAATATTGGACGAGTTGCTATATAGAAATGTAAAATTGGGAGTTTGACAGTGTTCTAAATCATTTCAACCGAGACATCCATGGGAAGTTGATTTTGCTTGAAATCCCAAACTTCGAATTCAAAATCAGACTCTTTGCCTTTGGTGGAGTTTCCATTCTGAAAGAATAATGCCTTTCCTTCTTTTAGTATATCATCATATCTTGCCTCAGTGTTAATCTGCAGTTTTCTGGTCCCCCCACCTTGCTTTGCTCTAACCTGTTTTATTACACCATTTTCATTGTGAATCCACCCAATTTCAATATTTAGTTTGCATGATTTTGCTTTGCAGCTTGCTTTTTTGTTTGATGTTTGTGGCTCCTGTTCATCCCCATTTACCTTCCTAAGCTTCATTTTCTCTCTCAGTTTCTCGAAAAGACCCAGCTTTCACTTTGCAGAAGGGGTCTGACGCCTGCAAAAATGTATCAGGGCAATCCTGTCTCCATATGAGGGAAGGTACTTTGCCAGGTCTGCATCGTCCATAAGTAGGATGACTTCTCTGTTGTAGGAATTATTAGCTCAGGTAATTTTTAATATCTCCACCAATATGTTTGAAATTAATTAAAGTTTAATTAAGTATTATTTAATACTGATCATTAACCAATTGTTATGCCGAATGGTCGGCTCCTCCAAACTCAATTGAAGTATCCCCGTAAGTCTGTTAATGTGAGACTTAAACGGGATTGACTAATTACCAATATCACTTATAACCTAGGTTAGAAGGCTCATCCAGCGAGCTGCATCATCAGGTAATGTAAACGATTGGTAGCAAAGCTCCCCTCACGGCCGATGAGAGAGAGTCTTGCGATGTTTCAGGCGAGTTTGAGGTTCAGAGCGTGTAGCAAGATCGCACAGAGGCAGGAACTTAGTGTGAGTACTCAATGACGGAGGCTGAAGTTGTGTAAAAGACATGCATTTATTCCTAGCTAACACTGCCTTTCCAACTAACATGACAGACATTACACCTAACACAAACAACAAACACGAAATAACGGAATA